TGCACATTTAGGACTCACAACCTAAAAGCAGGTAGGGTTCAACATTATGGACAGCAGCTTTTTCAGATCCCAAAAGCAAAGTCAACCTGCCTCATCCTGCAGCACCATACAAGGGAGGACATTTGAGAGAAGACTTTAAAGGTGCAAATGGCAGTAGCAGGTCATGTTCTACTGGATGAAGTTCCTCATTTACATCTTGGACTTGGCCACAGATTTTACCACTAGCCTTGTTTTTGTTTATCCTCAGCATAAGTGGTATATTTACCATCACAGGGAGAAGACAGCCAAAGCTATTCCCATTGAAGACAAAATACAATTACATTTCCCTAAGAAGAATAAAGATGGAAGACTAAAGATAACAGACCAAAGATAACAGACCAAAGACATCTGCTTATAACATCATCTGAAAAACCACACGGCCAGCAGGTGGAGGGAGGGGACCCTGCCCCTCTACCCCGCTCTGGGGAGACCCCCCGGCAGTGCTGGGGCAGCTCTGGAGTCCTCAGCACAGCAGAGACAGGGACCTGCTGGAGCGGGGCCAGAGGAGCCCCAGCAATGCCCCGAGGGGGGAACCCCTCTGCTGGGAGCCCAGCAGGAGAGAGTTGGGCTGGGGCAGCCTGCAGAGGAGAAGGCTCCAGCTGGGGAGACCTGCTGGGGGCCTGCCAGGACTTCCAGGGGTCTTACAAGAAAGCTGGGGACAGTCTTTTGAGCAGGGCCTGTTGGGACAGAACAAAGGGGGATGGTTTGAAACTAAAAGATGGTGATTAAGACTAGAGAGAAGGAAGAAATACATTACACTGAGGGTAAGCCACTAAGGTGGCTCACACTAAGGTGAGCCCCTGGCCCAGGTTTCCCCGAGAGATGGTCGCTGCCCCATCCCTGGAACCATTCCAGGGGAGGTTGGCCGGGGCTCTGAGCAACCTGCTCTAGTTGCAGATGTCCCTGCTCCCTGCAGGGGGGTTGGACTCGATGACTTTGAAAGGTCCCTTCCAACCTAAAACATCCAATTATTTTATGAAAAGTTTAACAGATTAACATGCAGAATTTACAGAGAACCCATCTCAAGTTTTGGAGTGTCAAATGAGTCCCATACCCCTGAGGACAAGACCCTTTCAAACTAACAGACATCAAGTGAGGGCTGCAGCCTTCAAAGCCCAGAATACTTCTGCCACAATCTTGAACCTCTCCTGAAAGGAGTCCAGAAGGACCAAACCAGATCTGGAGGCTGAATAATTAATTTTAAAAGAGCCTTTGGAAAGGAACTGATTGTTACTGAACACCTGCTAAAAGAAAGGGTTTTCAGGTAGTACCCTGATGGGCACAGACATCTCACACAGGAAAAAGTGGGCACGACTGGATGACATTTAGGCAAGGGAAGGTAAGAGTCATGCAGAAGAGCTTCTCTAGCAGTAAATTAAAGCTCATAGGGGAACAGGGTGACCTCAAAGGGGTGTTGCTTGGAGGAGCACTACTGCTACAAGACCAGCATGGTCAACCAGGATGGTCAACCAGTAGCTGTACTGCAAAAATCCATACTTCATCTAGGTGCAGATGCCAGGATGGGTTCTTATTTTCCCTTGCCACTTAAAATGAAAGCATCTCTTTCCTCTTCCAGTGTTTCAAAACAAATTGTATGAGCTATATGGCCTCTGCTCCTCACGTTCTGTTCCTCCATGGAACAAGACAGCAGTGCAGTCACACTCACACAGATGTTATGAAAGCTGCTCTTCAAAATCCTAAATGGACAAGAGAAGAGAGACAAGGTGTGTGTATGCAGAGAGGAACGCAGACTCTGGAGCCAAAGGGAGATCAGTGCCCCATTTGAGGAGCAGGCTGCATGCACTGATGGATCAGTATTCCCCCAGGAAGTGCACACACCTGCAGCTGGCCTGGGAAACTCCATCTCACCACCTTTCACCCCATCTATTGTATGCCACGTCCCCAGTAAATCCTTTATTTCAAGACAAGAAGCACCTTGAGCCATCCGATGGACTTCCTTTGCTGCCTTTTGTCAGAAAAGCACTCAATTTGTGTATTTCCAGTCTAAAAGCAATGGATGTGCAAATGCAGTAGTGCAGACCCAGTCCTACCAGATGGGTGAAGCAACCAGCTATCAGGCTCTACGAGAAAGGGTGTTTGTCTTGCTTCAGGAGATCTGAAGGCAAATACTGCATCACTTTTTATCACCTCCACTCCCACTAGATCTCATTTCACCTCAGGTCCCAAACTCCCAAGCTCTGCAGGCTTTTGATCTCGACCTTGCCCAAGTGAGAATGTCTGAGTCCTACAGCTCCATCTCCAGGTGCTTCTCTGGGCTATTTCCTCTTCTCTAACTCAGTTTGGCCATTTCTTCTAAATAAGCATATGCATACTTGGGCTCAACAGCAAGAGTGTAGAAGGAGCTCTGGGAAAATAAGAACATATTTGCAGAAGGGCCTTTTGGCAAACTAACGGTTTGAAAGCAATCATTAGTTTTCAAGTTGATATGGTTTAGTACAACCTGAGGATTTGCACTGTGTATGAAGCTCTTCAAACTCAAGGTGACATTTGATATAGTGAAAAGTTAGGCATAGGTGGAAATGCAGAAGGAAGTTTTGACCACCTCTCTGGTCTTCATCTTTCTCACCCCATCTGAGCTTTGCCATTGACAGGACAAGGGGCACAACCTCACAGTGTTGGGAAATTGACAGTACGAGGGGCAATAGTTTTAAACTCGAGCAGGAAACATCAGGAGGAAGTTCTTGACAATGAGGGTGGTGAGACACTGGCACAGCCTGCCCAGAGAGGTGGTGGAGGGCCTATCCCTGAAGACAATCAAGGTCAGGCTTGATGGGGCTCTGAGCAACCTGCTCTAGTTGCAGAGGTCCCTGCTCTCTGCAAGGGGGTTGGACTAGATGAGCTTTAGAGGTCCAACCCAAGGCGTTCTATGATTCCAGGGCATTCAAAAAAACATTCACTCCACATACAGCCAAGGCAAAGCAGTCGGATAAACCAACTGCCAGCTCACCATGGGACTTGCAGACTGTTGCTTGGAGGTTGGAACAAGGCTTGTTAGTCTCTGATCTTGCTTCTTGTGGGCTTCAGAGCAAATCAGAAGCTGCTAACAGACAACCAGCACTGTGCATTGGGGAATGGTGAATGGGAGGGTACCCTGCTAAACAACACCTGGGCCACAGTTCCACACACAGCACTGAGTGTCCACCACCACTGTTCTGGATCAACCACCACAACCCTTGCCACCCTAACCCGCAAGCAAGGTCTTCTCAGGTACATTTATTCCATACCACAATGAGTGTTTGCTGGCTTCAAGGAAGAACACGAAGCAAATGGTCAAGTCTCTGCTGGAAGCCTTGCTTCAGATAAGGTTTTATGTAAAGTACCAGGAAGACAGAAGGAAGTTGTCTGCTGTTTAGTTTCTTTAGAAGGTTGTGAAGGACACAAAGGCCTGGAAACCCCACAGAAAGAAAATTACCTAACAGATTTGCGATTTCCTGCCTTGTAGAAAGCACGCAGAGCACAGGTTCTCACTTGGCTTCTTCTGGCCTTCATCGTTTGTACAAACTCAGTAGGACAGGAAAAAGCATTTATCATGCCCAGGACTTCATTTCAACCACCCACAGATGCAATATAGGTAAACAAGTGACAGAAATTAAGCTGGCATTTCAAGAGATTGCTTAAAGAAAGAAATATTTAAAAATAAAGAAAATTAAAATAAAATACTTCTATGTCATGACAGGTGTTTATCTCACCTGGCAAACTCCCCTAGTGTGCACTCCTGGACTTTGAAAGGAGCTCAAGCACACTCCAGCCTGCCAAAGAAGTGCTGACAGCCTACACAAATATATTTTTCTGCTCTGAATGTCAGAAAATAAAGTTAAAAAAAAAAAACAACAACAAAACAAGCAAAAAAACAAACCCCAAAAACACAAACCACAACAAAACACAACAACATTCACAAGGCTAGCCCATACATTGTAGTATGTGGTTGTCTGAAGTCAATCAACCACCAGAGCTACGGGAAGTTTAGATTGGACATTAGGAAAAGTTTCTTCCCCAAAAGTGTTGTCAAGCCCTGGAACAGGCTGCCCAGGGCAGTGGTGGAGTCCCCATCCCTGGAGAGGTTTCCAAGCCGTGGAGATGTGGTGCTGTGGGACATGGGTCAGTGGGGACCTGGCAGTGCTGGGGGAATGGTTAGATTCTATGACCTTAAATGTCTCCTCCGACCCAACTGATTCTATGATACTCTGAATCAGTAGAGAGAGATGGAGGTATAACTATGCAACAGACCCGTGCACAGAAGCATCCAAACTAGAGACCCAGGCCAGTATGTCCAAACACCACAGGACAGCACTATCCATGCCCAGGGCCATGCTCAAGCCAGCACGCTCTATCTTTAGCCTGGATATATCCAGAAACCTTGGAGAAGAAAAGACTATTTGACTATGATTTCAAGGTCTACCCAGAGGCAGATGACAGGACTATTTTATCACCTCACACAGTCTCATGATGATTTGCAATGCAAGAGCACCGTGCAGTCATGTAGGGTCAGCACTGCTTGCTTGTTTGTTTTTCCAGATTGCCACATACTCAAGGCATCTTGCTGTGAGCTGAGTTTAACCACTGCTGGCAAGGTCCTGCAAAGGGCACAAAGACTGAGCCTCAAGGTCTAAAAAAATCCATAAAAATCTCAAGTTTCTCCTGCTGCAGTTCAAGAGCCAAGCCTCGAGAGCAAAAACCAGCAGAACCAGTAGCCAGAAAAACGCAGTGGCACAAACTCCCTGATGAAGTCAAGGATTGTCCTTTTGTTTGTAAGGCATCTAGAACACCTGGGGCATGACTTCACTCTGGGTTCATACACTGTTTGACCAGCACAGTAGTTCTAGCCATATTTGTCATATATATTCTGTGGAGAGCAGCCTGAAGACCATCAGACCTGGTTCCATCCTTTCCACTGAGAGAAGAGTCAGACAACACAGTACTAATAAAGGGAGACTACTCACCATTGGTGCTCCTCGGTGACCTATAATGGCTGGCTTTGGTCCCAGAGCCTTCTTCTCCATTATGCAAGGGGACGAGATGGTGAGGGGGACGAGGTAAAGTGCAACTACAACTGCGAGGTATGCAGTGAACATCAGCATCTGAGAAGCTGAGATGGAAAGAGAAAGAGCTGGTGAAGATGTTGGTCCTGACCTCCTCACACCACGGAGGCAAAGTCAAGCCACCATCATCCTCCAGAGGAGACACTGGTCTACAGTCATTGCTCCTAGTACAACAGAACTCTGTGTTTAGGGAAAAACATACCTTACTTTAAAAATACCTCTCATCAGGGAAGGTTTTCACTTCATTTTGTATTGGTGAAGCAAAAAGTAAAGCCAATTGCTTAAAAGCCCAGCAATGTAGCCTAAACCAGTTGATTTCTGATTCTTTGGGTGGGACAGCACCAAATGCTGCCCTGTAGACAGCAGAAATAGCTCACCAGTTAAACATATCTACAAATAAGTCATGGCACCACGTTGGCACATTTCACATCACTTGGGTTTACCTTGGTGGCTCACCAACACTACCCATCTCAGTCAGGGTAACTCCACTTGAACTGCTTCTGCATTAGGATTTGTGCCAGCCAGAACTGCATTAATTTGCATAAGTCTCACAAAGTCCAAAGCATCTGGGAATCTTTCAAAGGTGCTGACAGTGCAACAGAAACACCCCTTGTTCCCAACACACGCATGTTGCTCATAAAGAACAACGGGAACCTTTGAACTCTGGAGCTATTTGGAGTCACTTGAAACCACAGATATTAATTATTAACAAAATAAAAAATGAAGTCTTATGTTTTATTTCTTTTTCAAACTCATTAAGGCTTTGGAACTCAAGGGAGAACCTCCAAAAAAACCCTTTAAAACAAATATTTGTCATGGACACAAGGTAGAGAAACTGAGGTGGTATTTTTAAGGGAAGGACAGAACAGTCTAACTCTGGTCCTGACCACAGCTGATCTGGTTTCACACATAAACAAGCTGCTTTTTGCTTCCAGCATCTAATAGCCTCATTCAAACACACTCCTACAAGCCAGAAAGTAACACTAGTCACTTTGCCAGCTATTTTTTCCTCCTCTCTGGGAGTGATGTCAATCCCCCACAAAGCACTCAAGGAGCTGAATGGCATCTTGCTAAGTGAGCTCACAACGTGTCTTGCACCAGAGAAATGATGCCCTGGAGTTGTGAGTTACCAGCATCAAAACTTCCAGATGGACACAGGATGTGACCCTGACTCAATTCTTGCTCACCCCAAGAACAAAACACACCAACCAGGCTTTGAAAAATCAGCCTAATAGTCAGTGAAGTCTGACATGGTACTGCACCTAGCTGAAAAAGGTGCCCCAACGTGAGTCACAGGCAACATTAAAATGGAGCTGAAGACCTTGCTCAGCCATGAATACATGGGAACTGAGACCACGCACAAGAAGTCCAAAATGAAATACAGGCATAAAACACAAGCAAAGTACACACTGATCAGTTTGAGGTTGGGTGGACTGTATGGAACAAGCTCTCCTGGTGACCACCCAAGCCAAGCAAGAAGGACAGAAATCTCCAGCTTTCTACAACATAACACCACCAACAACATTTACGTGTAAGTCTTCCTTTTCCATTCCTCCTGCTCTTAATGACCACTCCAGCCTACTTTGGGCTTCTGGAAGAGCACATTTCTCACATCACCATTTGCTAACCAGGGCTTCCAGGGCTGCTTGAAGTCTAATGTTTTCTCTCTGAACTCAGATGCAAGCTTTGAAAATAATAAAAAACCCTTTTAAAACATGGTAGCTATTCAAGAAACTTCTGTTCTCCAGGTTTGGAAAAAGTAGCATACAGGGAAGAACAGAAAAATAAAGATGCCTCAAAAATGACAAGAACAGATTGTTGCACCAATGACTGCAGCTGCACCAGTTACTTCAAAAATATTATTATTAGTGAGTGAAATCTCATTTTCCCATTAGGAGCAACTGTAGGTTCTCACAGAGATTTTGGTACTTATCTTCCATTTTTAACACCACCACATAAAACATCTGAACCAAAAGTCTGTAAACTCCTCCAGGTAAGATACCTTTCACAGGCAAAATAACCCTGGAATAACTAAGACCTAATGGTACAGAAGAGATGAATGTTTTTCCTTAAAAAAAAAAACTAACAAAGAAAACCCCAACCCAGCAGCAGAAAAAAAAGAAAGAATACAGCTCAATGGCTGATTAAAAACAAACATCAGAAAAGCCAGTTCATGGAAGTCAGCTGGAAGAGAAAAACTATGAGGAATTCAGAAGGAGCACATGCAAGCCCTGCTCTAGGCGTAACCACAAATCCTCCTCAACTGGCAGCCTAATTACATGCTAGGACATATTTAAGAAGAACCAGGTACAGCTTTATTGGCATATATATAAATTAAATCAGGGCAATTCTTTCTTTGAAAGGTCTCTCTGGATATCAAAATCCTTCCATCTTCAGACGCTGTTTCCTCATTCTTAACTCCCACTTCTTGGAAGCCTTTTGCAAGTGCTGCCAAATCCTTCCAGGGCTTGTATTTTGCTGCAGGTTAAATAGCAATTAAAGTAATTATTCTGGAGCTGGCATGAAAGTCTGAGAACATTGATGGGTGCCCTGAAGAAACACACTTCTGAGGGCACAGAAGGATCAAATAATTTCACAAGAAAATCTGGAGGAACAGTTAAGGCTTGGGAGAGCCCCTGGCAACAAGGTAGGAAAAGGAAGATCTTATTTCAATGGATGGGACCATCAACAAGAAGAGCTTGGTTCAGAGTGTCCTTCACTACTCTGCTCCCTTAGATGTTCAACCACATCCCAATATGCACTTAAGGAAGCACCCAACCATCAGGGGACCAGATCTTTACTGAGCCCTCTGGGTGCTACCACATGACAAGCAACAAGTCCATGAAGGCTTTCAAAAGCCAGATGCACCTAGAAATGCAGGTGAACAAGACCCAAGGAGATGCAGGAAAGGAGAAGTGCTTATAAGGTCCAGAGGAAGAACGTGGCATACTAGCTGTGGAGGGTGTGTTTATGTTTTCTAAAGCATGTTGACAGAAAGCTGGATGCTTTTATTCATTGCATCACGGAAAACAGCCCTTTCAACTCCAAGCCTGGGGTGCTTCCAACCACAAAGCAGCAGCCGTTGGATCTGCGTGCATCCCCAGATCAGATTCACCCACTCTAGCTTCAGCCAAATTGCTCTAGGAGAGCATCCACCTTCCCATCGTGGCTGAGCTGGAGGCTTCTGGGCCCAGGAAAGGAACAAGTGCTGCCTCCTGCCAACTGGCTCCCAATGGGAGGACCCAACACCCCAAGAGCCACCCACCAGCCCCTGATCACCACGCAAGGACAGAAGTGGTACTCACTGGCTTTCTCTGTTCGTGCAAACTGCCCTGCTATCAACCATGACAGGGCTGTGACTGCTGCAAGTGCTCCTATGTGCAAGAAAGGGGCTGTGGCCTGCAGGATACAAGAACAGCAGAGAAAAAAACTAATTACAAACACAACACTTGGGGAAAAGCTCACCCATTAACAGATATTAGGAAAAGGCCACCTCAGGCATCACAGAAATTCAGATAAGACTCTTGGTGCCACCATATTATAAATTTCTTGTAGTCTAGCTGAACACTGGTCAATGGCTCAATGTCCAGATGGAGTTCAGTGACAAATGGTAAAACTCAGGGGTCCACACTGAGACTTGTGCAGTTTAATATCTTCACCAACGACAGACAGTGGGATCGAGGGCACCTTCAGCAAGCTTGCAGATGACACCAAGCTGAGAGGTGCTGTTAACATGCCTGAGGGACCTGATGTCATCCAGAATGACCTGGGCAAACTCAAAAAGTGGGATCATGTGCACCTCCTGAGGTTCAACAAGGTGAAGTACAACATCCTGTACATAGGTCAGTGCAATCCTCAGTATTCATCCTGGTTGGGGGATAAAGGGCTGGAGAGCAGCCCTGGGGAGAAGGCTCTGGGGGGGCTGGGGGTGAGGAGCTGGCCAGGAGCCCCTGGCAGCCTGGGTTGCACCCCCAGCAGCATGGGCAGCAGGACAGGGAGGGGATCCTGCCCCTCTGCCCCGTTCTGGCGAGACCCCCCTGCAGTGCTGGGGCAGCTCTGGAGTCCTCAGCACAGCAGAGACAGGGACCTGCTGGAGCAGGGCCAGAGGAGCCCCAGCAATGACCTGAGGGGGGAACCCCTCTGCTGGGAGCCCAGCAGGAGAGAGTTGGGCTTGGGCAGCCTGCAGAGGAGAAGGCTCCAGCTGGGGAGACCTTCTGGGGGCCTGCCAGGGCTTCAAGGGTGTTTCTTATAAAGAAAGCTGGGGACATTCCTTTTAGCAGAGCCTGTGTCCACGTTTAGCCTGTATTAGGGGCTAGGATGTAGCAGTTGCTCCATCAACCATCTATCCTGATATCCCTCCACAGCCAAGAAGGGGCATCAGGAAGAGGAGACTCAAAGGATGAAATGAGAAAAGATGGAATGGAAGATCAAAACTAATACCAAGGCCAGTACAAAGTCGTCAAAGTCATCCTCAGCCCAGTGCATGTACAGTGGTCACAATAACTGGGAAAGTAGTCCTCAGGAGCAGGGTCAGGTGAAGCCTGAGCAGGAGCCCAAGCAGGAGGCCCTCCAACCTCAGTGAACATTTGCCTCTGTACTGAGCATGACGTTTGTGGGATGGGATCCTTCTGCCTAAAAAATATCTATCCTGTATATCTCTATAAAATATAGTCCACCTGTATACGGGATACACCTTGGGTTAGCTGCCCTGGCTGACTCCAGACTGCTCATGGTGTGCAGACGATGGCAGGCCTATGGTTCTATCCCAGTGAAACCAGGGCAGACTGTTGTGACAGGACAAGGGGGAATGGTTTTAAACTAAAATAGGGAGATTCAGAATGGAGAGGAAGAAGAAACTTTTTACAGTGAGGGTGGTGAGCCCCTGTCCCAGGCTGCCCCTGAGAGGTGGTCGCTGCCCCATCCCTGGAACCATTCCAGGGGAGGTTGGCCGGGGCTCTGAGCAACCTGCTCTAGTTGCAGATGTCCCTGCTCCCTGCAGGGGGGTTGGTCTAGATGACTTTGAAAGGTTCCTTCCAAGTCAACTAATTCTATGATTCTCTGAACACACTGGACCATGTATCACCATGAGAGAAAGTTTGAGATGGGTCCTCTGAGTCATGTTTCTGTTCTCCAATTGCCTGACCAAGTCTTTAAAAAACAAGAAGACAGAATAACTTCTGAGAAATGTTAGTCACTTGTGTGAATGCTATTTTTTCCCTGCTCTGTTTGCATACTCCCATATATACAGCAGTGATCACTGGTAAAACCTCTCAGTCCTTTCATGGCCAAAATATTTTTGAGGAAGAGGGAAAAAAAGGAGTAAAGAGCAAGCCTATCATGAACAGTTTCTAACTCTTTTCCTCTAATATTTACATAGCTCTAAGACATACCACAAGTCTTTCTTAAAACAGGACTAGTGCACAGAAGTTGTATTCTTTTTTAGCTAGGGATAAATTTATGTGCAGTGTAATAAGGAACCCAGAGTGCTCCTTCCATAGGAAAGGAATGAGCATGATGCTCCAGGCCTGGGCACCCATGTCCAGAGCATTGTTACCCAAACCAAGAGGAGGAAGTCACACACTCCCTCCAGCACCCCTGAGTCACTCTCAGCCTCAGTATTTTCCATCTCCAGTTCTGCAGCCAAGTCTTGGTTTGAGTTTAAAGGAAGGAGCCCAGAAGATGGAGTCAAAATTATTTAGTGACTTGATGACTCTATGGGAGACATGCTGCAAATTTGCTCATTCCAAGATTTCAATATTGGGAGAGATAACTAACAAGACATGGTTTTACACAGTATAAAGACACATAGCCCATGATGTGTGGCTGCACTGGCCCTTTCTCCACTCAGAGAGGCACCCTTACAGACAACTTACCTGTAGTGAAATAAATACCATCTCCCATTCGTCGTCCCAAAGCTGTGCTATTGATGACATGGTCACCACTGTAGTTATCAGGGTTGTCATCAGGCCAATCTGCAACAAATATGGAAGTATTTACATCCTGGAACCTGTCATTATATGGTGCCTCTTGTTATGAGTTTTGCAGAATGGAAAACGAAGAGAGAAAACTTTTGTATGTAATAAAAGGCCAAAAACAATTAGCCTAAGGACTCACACGGACAGAAGTTGGGCTTCTGTGCTGTCCCAGCATGACCTTCCCCTTCTTTTCCTCCACTGGAGATAGAACATGGAGCTAAACAGTCCCAGGAGAGCACATCTCATGGATGAACTCTCTTCACACGGTGGCCAATTGTATGAAAGATTAGGTGATTTGCTTGGCCAATGAACTGGATCAAAAACAGCTTAAATAGAAATTGGGTTCTGCCAGGCAACTTCAGGAGGTGACCTCAGACACTCCTGCCTCTACTGCTACAGCCTGTGATGCACCAGTGCTATGTGAGGTTGGTGGACTCTGTTCAACTTGACTGTCCAACACTTCTGTTCAGATATAAGCCTTGATTATGCCCAACAAACGCATGCTGCACTTCGGTAAAGGGTGGATGTGTGTGCAAGCAAGACTGTGCCACCCCATCACTAACCAATCATCTTGAGATGGTTCAAGTACAACTTTGTGCATAGACATGACTTCACCTGGGTCTGAAATGGCAACAACTGTGCAGTCAGCATCCAAGCCATGTTGACCACAGTGAGATGATGCAGCTAGAGAAGAGGCACTGGATGAGACAGTGGCTGAACTGAGATGGCAGGCCAAAAGCTAGTCCACCAGACACCTTTCCTCAGTCTCCCTCTCCCTCCACATGGAAGCACTCAAAAGTCTGAGCAAAATATTAAAAAATAAATCATCATCTCCATTTTGAAGGTAAAATGTTCAAACTGTCAAAAACTTCCATAGAAATAACTCCAGCTGTAAAGACCTAAAATCTGGGCTGTCTATTAAAAAAATATTCCAGCGTTCTCTGCCTCTGTCTGGTGTCTCAGTCACTGCTGTTCCACCCTCCTGCCACATTCCAAGGATGCTGCTGCTCTGTGCCTTGATCTCATGTCTTGTCTAGACCTGAAATTTGCATGGGACACTTGTGCAGAAAAGGCCAACTAATATGTAGTAATGAACTGCTCACCTAGGACATACAGGACATCTCTAGACTGATTTCAGATTTACTTAATGCATAGGGCAAACAAGTTTTTAAAAAAAAACAAAACAAAACAACACATTCCCAACATTTAGAGAAATCACTCTGGTGCATAAGAACAGGGTTTCTCTTTCTAGGTTACCGTGGTTCCCACCTGCTGTTCCTCTCCTAAACACCCAAAAGACAGACTGCCAAGAGCACAAGAGGTGTCCATAGGGCAGCAGGAGCTTACTCTGAGCCTCCAGCTTTTGGGGGAACACAAACAGAGCACATGGGGCTGCAGAAGGGGCCAAGAGATCCTGTTGGCCCAGTGTGAAGAGGTTTCTCAAGATATGAAGCTGCATTCAAAGGACTTGCTATCCCTAAGCAACCCATTTCTGCACACCCAAGGAAGAATGGGATTTGCCTGCCTATTTAAAAGCCATCCCCAAGCAACCCACAGTGGCAAGTCACACTATTTCAAGAGATTTCCTAAGTAAGGACTCTGAACTAAGGCAGTACAAAGTGATGTATGTGGACAATTGCATTTTGCCATGGAGCCTGGTGGGCACCAGTCCTTCTGCTCCCCCATCCTATGGTCAGAACTCTGGGCCACCTACCAGATTGTGACACAACCCAGACTGAATCTACTTTTCTTCCATTTCATATTCCCCAAAGCTGAACAGGAGGAAACTGGAAGGAATTGTGGGATTTGCACATAGGAGCCTTTCTGCTTTAATCTGTTATTTGATGGTATTTTAGCATGGCTGTAGAGAAGAATATTATCTTATTCCAGACTCTTATCTCAACCTCCTTAGAAAGCTAAGGGAAGTGTAAAGAATGGGAGACAGAGCAACAAATCTGAGTTGTGATGAAAGGTGAACTTTTTTGAAAGGAAGGAAGGAAGGGCGAGTTTTCTGTAGGCGAGAGCTAACTGATCTCCACCAACACATTCCTCTTCTCAACTTACTCATCCAAACCCACCAGCCACCTGGAGCATGTCTGAAAAATACCATTTCCCCCAATGAAGAAACATATGTTAGACTCCAGAATCAACACTTTCTTTTCCAGCAGCAGTCAGACAACCCCCACCCCCTCTTTTTGCATTGCATCACCTCTTTCTGAGGAAGCATTTCTTTAGTTTCTAGGGAAAAAAAAAAAAGAAAAGAAAAGAGAGAGACAGGGAGGTCTGTGCTCTCCCTCTCCTGCAGGGTTGGACATCTGTTCAGGCTCTGATTCTCCAAGACCTTGTTACATGCAGAACAACAAATTTCAGGAGGAGCTGTGTATGGACAGCCTAGGACTGGTCCATTAATTACCTATTAGCAGATTGCCAGTTACAACTGTATCCTGCCAAGACATTTTCTTTGGCATGGTCTCTCCGTGTAGTTTCCTCTGCCCAGATCTACATCATCTCCTACATTTCAGAGCAATTTTCCAAACTGCATTACATATAAGTCAGGACTCTCTTAGCTGCCAGCAAGTCACAGACTGTACATTGGACATCCCCAGTTTTAATACTACATCTTCTCCCAGGGCTTTTCCAGTTGGTCCCTCCAAGCACATCCTGAACAATTTCACATCTGCTCAGCCCCTCCTCCAGGGCTGGGTTTAGCACAGAAAGGAGCACCAGAGAGGTTCCCAGTGGAGCACTGAGCCAAGACTAATTACAGGCTGCTCTGATTTACACACAGGTTCTCAGTCTCTAGAATTGGGTCCTCTATCAGCACAGACCTCAAAGAATCTTACCAAAGTCTTTGTACCCAAGCTTTAAGTGCCCCTAGTGTGCAATTTGCTCAGGCCTCCAAGACGCGGACATGTGCACCACAAAAATCTAAACCTCATATTCTTCCCAAAAAAAGACCAGGTGACAGTGAGTGCCAAGCTGAAAAGAGTCATTTACCTTGTGAAGCCAGTGCAGGTTCATTTGCTGTCCCACAGCTATGTGACATAGTGCTAGTATCTGGGAGGAAGAAATCAAGAGTCAGACATCAGCACATCACAACCTTTTGGGTGTTTGAACATGTGTGACTACAGCACCATCCAAAAAAATAACCCAACAGGCCAGGGCAGGAAGCAGGGCTGGCATGAGGACAGAGCAGCAGTCATCACCTAGAGACAAACAGTTCCTCTCCAAAACCAAGGATGTGAAAGGAAAGACTTTGACCTCCAGGAAGCAGGGTTTTGAGAGTTGGGTCCGTGGGTGCACAGCTCCCAGCATGAAGCAGTGTTTACATGGGACCAGGTACCAGCATACTACCTGAATGGACATCACCTTGAAGGTCCCAGCAGCCTAGGGTGAGGGGAAATACCCTGCACTTGTGCCTGGCAGGCACACCAAAGTGTAAACTGGGCCATACTAAGGGGAACAAGAGCTGTATTTCTCCTCAGGCCAACCACACCACCAGTATCAGGGTCTTTGTCTTTGCTCTTGATCATCTGAGGTCAAAGACCCTGCCTTTTTCACATCTCATTTATTTCAGGCAACTTAAGAGAGAAAAGGAGAGAGAAATCACTTCTGGAAGAAAAATCGCACAAATCGTAGGTGGATGGAGAAGTTCATGCCCTTCCTAAAACAAACACACAAACCCCTAGGAAATGACATATTATTCTACTCACCAGTAACACTGTAATGTACGTGAAGCCAGCAGCAGTTGTTACGAGTATTGGAATGGACCAGTCACTCCAATATCCCATTCGGTTATATAAAAACCTGGAAGATAAGAGTGGAGTACAGATTAAGAAGAGATTCAACACCAAAGCAACTTCACTAGGATTAGAAAAAACTTTAGAAAATGGGTCTCTCTCTTCTCTCTGCACTGATGAGAGATAGGCAGCAAAAGGCACAAGTCAGTATCAAACAAAAGCCAATGTTTGTGCTTTGATCCCTCATGGGAAATCAACTCTGCAGAGAGGAATTGTTGAACACAGCAACAATGTTAAGTTAGAAAAAAGAAAATCATACAGGACCAGGGTTTGAGTTTCTCCACAAAAATATTCCCTACAAACAAGGGAAAAAGCATTCCCATGTGAGGTGGTGTTTACCCAAATAATAGATCCAACACTGTCCCATGTGCTCACAAATTCATAAATACAATACAGAGAATATCAAGGACAGGGGAGGAAAATTAATGTTGCTGTTCATAGCTCTGCTAGACCATAGAATCACAGAATGCTGCTTTGGGTTGGAAGGGACCTTAAAGATCATCTAGTTCCAACACTCCCACCACCCCCCCACCACGGGCAAGGGCATCTTCAACTAAACTGGGTTGCTCAAAAACCCATCCAACCTGACGTTGAACACTTCCAGGGATGAGGTATCCAACAGCTTCCCTGGGCAGCCTGTGCCAGTGTCTCACCACCTTACAGAGAAGAATTTCTTCCTTATATCTAAGGATATATCCTATAAACTCAAGGTGCAAACTCTTTGTGGAGGGACAAGATGATGGAAGAAATTTGGTCTCTTGTACTTATTGGAGATGGTGTCTCTTATTCCAATGGGCCGTAAAGAAGGTCCAAACCTGCAAGATTGGAGACTGTCAGGAATTTGGCACAGGACTTCCCAAAATGAGGCTTGCTAGAGGAACTGCATCCTTTTGACCTTCTCATCTTCAACTGACTGAAGGGAAGCTCTGCTCAGGATGAAGGTTGCCTGTGGGATTTTTTGGGTCTGTGGGTTCTCTTCTCCTGGTCCTTCCATTTACCTTAAAGCTCTAACAAAGAGATGGACTATTAAATGGCTCTGTGATCCAACCCTGGCAAGAGGCAGCAGCAATGTCCTGAGGCACTGGATGATCAGAGCAGGGACTGAAGCAGGATTAGAGCAGTACTGACGTACAGACCTACAGGTAACACCTTCAAAGCATGTACCTCCAGAACAGCTTCTTTAGATCTTCTCAGCAACCACTTCACAGTGAATTCCTCAGTTTCCCTGCACACATGCAGAAAGTTGCCACTTTGTCAAGGCTTAGCAGCACAAAAGAACAAAGGGGAGATTTGTTTTAGATGTGAGGAAGAAGCTCTTCACTGTGAGAGTGGTGAGGCATTGGAACAGGTTGGCCAGAGAGACTGTGGATGCTCCATCCCTGGAAGTGTTCAAAGCCAGGTTGGATGGGGCTCTGAGCAACTTGGTCTAGTGGGAGGTGTCCCTACCCATGGCATGGAGGTTGGAAGTTGATTATCTTTGAGGTCCTTCCAATCCAACCCATTCTATGAAGCTGGTTATGGGGTAGATGATATAGAAGAACTGCTCCCACATGCCCAGAAGAAACACGAGTCCTAGAGCCACATCTAGCTGCTGTGATCTCCTGTGCTTCTCTGAACACAGGGACCACATGAAGCTCATCCTGACCTGCAAATTTCAGAACTGTTTTTCCTGCTGAAGAGGGACAACCAGGTTCAGGACATACCAGAGCAGAGGCTCCAGAGGCTGAGTTGATACAGACCTCACTGTATTAAAGGATCCCATAAACCAACAGATATTGAGTTTCTTCAGCATCTGACAATGTGGGACTTGGGTTGAATGGTCCCACTAGCCTTCCTCAGCCCTACTCATCAGCTCAATAAACTGACGAAGACAAGCACCCAGGGGTTTTGTTGCTTCTTTTGGTTACAGACATAAATGCTTCATACAGGCAGGTCAAAGACAACCTCCTCCCCACCACTCAAATCCAGCATCATTCATCAGCCACAAACTCTGCTCTGGCAACTGCTCCATCTGTTCTGTCCAGAATTAAAGCTCCCACACAGGATCTAGTGAGCAAATCCTTGGGCTCAATAAACATGACCCATATGTCCAGGTTCTGTTTAGGGATTCAAAGAGCCATAACAAAAGGGAATTGGAGGGATTTGGACATTCCCTTAGTAAAAAAGAGGGAAGAAAGAGAAGAGGGCTCCTCTGAAGAAATTGCTCATGCCACCACCAGGAGTTTCTTTAGCTCAGCTTAAGTACATTTAAGTTTTTGCTCTGATGTCTCTTCAAGTGGCCCTTGATAGCGTCAGGTCTTCACTTGATGTGCAAATGACCATTTAAAAATGCTGTTTCCATGGTAGTTATGAACCAGATGAGCCTTCTCCAGCACTAAGGAAGAAAACATTGCCTACACAGACTTGCATTTATAGTCCTGCTCCAGAGGGAACACAGCCAGGTTCACAAACGACAGCATCTCCCACACCCTTCATTAACCAACATGAAGATTTCTGTTGCAGCCTACAACGTGCACGCTGGAGATCTGAAGTATAATGCAATTAAGCATAGACACCAAAATGGAAATGCCCAAAGCAATAAACTTTAAAAAATATCTACTTATATTTAAGAGGCACAAAGCCCTTTCCCTGGCAAGGGGCTCATTGGCTACTCAGCCTTGCAGAAAAAGGCTTAAACCCCACAGCAAGGCATGCTGGGTTATAATTTTGCCTTGAATTTCTAAAGCCCATTTCAATGCCAGAATAAACCCTTAAGTCTTTATGAGTTCAAAGGACAGATCCCAACCTTTAGGCAGGTAAACCCTAATACTGCCACAATTTAATTAAGTTTAATTAAATCAGTTTGGTTTTACATAGATAGGGGCACCCACAGCTGGAGTCCAAACATGCTGGTGGATGACAGGCAGGGTTGGCCATGCACTTCTGTAGATTTCTCCTACCTCTTAAGTCACCTCTGGCAGCTGTTCAGCAGCATTTAGCAAAGTTCTGCACATTTGGGTTAAGAAATGAAGAACAGGCTAATAAATTCACGTTCTAATAAATTCAGGTACTACTTTAGCCACAAGAACACAGAAGAGAAGGATTGCTCTACCTTAGCATGCTAATAACCCTGCTGAAAAGGACCTGGGGTTATTCAGGAGATGAGGTTGAATGAGCCAACATTCAACCTCCACCATGAATAAGTCAAACTACTGGGAGGCATTAAGAGAAGTGCCACCAGCAGAGTAAGGGAACTTGCTCTCCCTTCTGCTCAGCACTGATGAGGTGGCACTGGCACCAGAATGTCCTGGTTTGGGCCTCCCAGTTCAAGGAGAATGTATAGGGAGTCTAATGCAGAACTACCAAACCAAGGTTGTGAGGGACCTGGGGAAGACAGCTCAGTAGGAAAGGCTGAGGAATCTGGATTTGCCTGGTCTCACAGAGAAGAGGCTATGAGATGATTTCATTGCTACCTATGCTGTCTGACAGACAGTTATGAAGATGATGAAATCCAATGGTTCTTAGAGGTTTGGGTTGGAAAAATCTTCTCCTCAGAGGGTGATGCAGTACTGAAACAAGTCCCAGAGAAAGGGGAAGTCTTCATTCTTGGGGTTTCAAGACTGTAGCCAACCTGGTCTACTGCCGGCAATAAGTCCTTCTTTGAGGGGTTGGTTGAAGAGATGCCTCCAAGTCCTTCCTCACCTGCTATAGTGGGACAGGTCAAAGAAGTTCAGTGTAGCTGCCTGCACATTACATGAGGAAGGAGAGCTCACAAGGATGAGCTCCAGACGGCAGGAACTAGCTCAGCAGCTCATCACACTAATGTGACACCAATCCTTTATCCCAGTTTGTCCAGGGAGTCCCTGCCAGTATCTGAGTGTGCTAGGTCCTGCAGAGATGGTATTTGCCCCAGAGAGCCCTTCCTCTAGTCAGAGAGATCATGGCTTGCAAATAAACCAGTGGAGCAGAGAGCAAACACAACAGGAACAACTACCAAAGAAATCTTGTCCACAAATACGGCCCCAAAGTGATAGCCACTGAGGAACACAAAAGATGGGGCTTCTAAGAGCCAGGACCCCATTTTAGCTCATCAGCAACAGGCACATAGCCCTGCTTGGTCCAAAATGATGCTGTCACCTGCTTTACACCCCATCTGGATGAAAACTGTTCTAATGGGGCCCACACCTCAGTACTGGGAGGGAGGGGTCCAGGCTTAGCCCAAATGGACCCAGGGGAAATTGCTTCCTCTCTGCCTGGAACCTCCACGGCTGTAATGAAAACCTCGCCCCATGTTGTCAGCCTCCCTCCCAGCCTCCCTGCAGCTTTTCAGGCTGTTTGTCAGAAACCCTGCTGTTCTCCTCAACCTCTGGTGCCAGTGTGTGGAGCAGGGATCTAATTGGGGTTACATAGAATCATAGACTGTCTGGGCTGGATGGGACCTCCAAAGGTCATCTAGTCCAACACCCCCACCACAGGCAGGGACATCTCCAACTAGGTCAAGCAACTCAGAGCCTCATCCAGCCTGATCTTGAATGTCCCCAGGGATGGGGCCTCCACCACCTCTCTGGGCAACCTATTCCAGTGGGCTATCACCCTCATATTGAAGAACTTTTACCTGACGCCTAACCTAAATCTGCCTTTTTCTAGGTTGAAGCCATCACCCCTTGTCCTGACACAACAGGCCCTGCTCAAAAGTCCCTCCCCAGCTGTCTGATAGGACCCTTTAAGCTCTGGCAGGCCCCCAGAAGGTCTCCCCAGATGGAGCCTTCTCCTCTGCAGGCTGCCCCAGCCCAAACCTCTCCTGCCGGGCTCCCAGCAGCGGG